AAAATTAGGAGATTGGGTAACACTAGGTACAGAGCAAATTTAAAGCTCAGTGTAGGAAACTAAATAGATGAAGTTAGGTACTTTTTGGTTTTGCTTTTAAATAAGGCAAAAGTTTTACAGTTTTTCAATTCACTAGGGAGTGAGTTCCATAGACTAGGTCCCTTAATTTGCATAGAGTGTTTACACAGATTAAGTTTGACCCTGGGGATATCAAAGAGATATTTATTTCTGGTGTGGTGATGATGGGTCCTATTACATCTGTCCAGGGAGAGTTTCAGAGCATGGTTTGCATTTAAGAACAGGGTTTTGTAAATGTAGTTGACACAAGAGAATGTGTGGAGGGAGTTAATATTTAGCAAGTTTAGGGATTTAAACAAGGGAGCTGAGTGTTGTCTGACAGCAGAGTTAGTTATTATTCTGATAGCAGATTTTTGCTGTGTGATGATGGGCTTAAGGTGGTTTGCAGTGGTAGACCCCCATGCACAGATACCATAATTAAGATAGGGGTAGATTAGTGCATAATATAGTGAGAGGAGAGCAGAGTTAGGAACATAATATCTGATTTTGGAGAGTATACCAACTGTCTTAGAGACTTTCTTAGTTATGTGTTGAATGTGGGTGCTGAAGTTGAGTCTCTTGTCTAGGAATAGGCCAAGAAACTTGCCATCATTTTTATTACTGATGTTAATGTTGTCTATCTGTAGCTGAATTGCATTTGATGATTTGCTTCCAAATAAGATGTAGTAAGTCTTTTCGATGTTTAATGTTAGTTTGTTCGTTGACATCCACAAGTGGACTTTTTTTAATTCATTATTCACAACATTATTTAGTGTATGTGGGTTGAGGTTTGAGTAGATAAGGGTAGTATCGTCAGCAAACAATATAGGTTTGAGAATATTAGAGACATTAGGCAGATCGTTTATATATATAAGAAATAGAAGAGGTCCTAAGATGCTGCCCTGTGGCACTCCAACGGTAATTGGTAGAGTGGAAGAAGTTGTATCATTGATGGTTACATATTGGTGTCTGTCACTAAGATAGGATCGGATGTAGTCAAGGGCAAGGCCTCGGATTCCATAATGCTGGAGTTTAAGTAAGAGGTAGTTGTGATTAACAGTATCAAAGGCTTTTCTTAGGTCAATGAAGAGTCCAATCGGAAACTCATTTTTGTCAAGGGCTGAGTAGATAATGTCAAGGAGACTAATGATTGCATCATTGGTACTCTTTTGGGACCGGAAGCCAAACTGGCAGGGGCTGAGTATGTCGAATTTTACAAGGTAGGAATAGAGCTGTTTGTAAATAATTTTTTCAAATATTTTTGATAGAATGGGTAAATTTGATATTGGTCTATAATTGTTTATGTCCGCCGGATTGCCTCCTTTATGGACTGGCGTTACTCTAGCTTTTTTGAGGATATCAGGGAAGGTGTGATACTCTATAGATTTGTTGAACAGTAGTGCTATGGGTGGGGCAAGGGCATGGGAGGCTCTCTTGTACACAATGGACGGAATTTCACTGGTGTTCCCTGCCTTGGTTTTTAGAGAATGTATGATGGACACAACATCTGCCGGGCTGATTGGTGAAAGGAGAAGAGAGTTTGGATAGCTGCCTGAGAGATATGTGTTGATATGTGTCTGAGTCTGTGGGATTTTACTGGCAAGATTAGCACCAACCGATGAAAAGAAACTATTAAATTCATTTGCCATTTCTAAGTCAGTTGACGGTATACCCCCATCCTTGTAGAGTTTTATTTGGTTATGTGAGTGTTGTTTAGTTCCTAGGATACTAGAGATAGTTTTCCAAGTGCTTTTCATGTTGCCTTTTGCTTCATTGAATCTATTCACATAATATGCAAGTTTTGCCTTTCTTATGATACTGGTAAGCATTGATGAGTACCTTTTAGCTACTTCCTTTGAAACTAGGCCAATCCTAACTTTCTTTTCATATTCATGTTTCTTGTTGATTGAGTTGAGAATGCCACTTGTGAGCCATGGATTGTTTAATCTTTTGTCAGTTACTTGCTTGGTAAGAAGGGGACAATAAATGTTGTAGAGGCTTAGAGTTTTGGAAATGAAGAGGTTAGCTAATGAATTTATATCATGGGTATTATTGAATTCAGAATCCCAGTTAATATTGTAAAGTGCCTCTGTAAGATTGTCTAAAGCTGATTCACTGTGTAGCCTAAATGAAAGTTTCTTGCTTTTTGGTGGTGTTATGTCCATGTTCGCTATGAGAAAGGTAGGATAGTGGTCAGTTGTTCTGTCGCAGATTATACCAGATACAAGGGGAGCTGTTATGTTTGTCCATATGTGGTCCAAGGTAGTGGCTGATGTTTGAGTGACTCGGGTAGGTTTGGTGATAGTGGGGATTAGCATACAGGAGTTCATGCTGTTAAGGAAATAGTCAACTTGAGAGCAATTTTGTTGACCCAGGTCAATATTAAAGTCTCCTCCCAGAATGATGTGGTTTTTGTTGAGATTGTTGTTTATAATAAGATTCCTTAGGTTGTCTGAGAAAGAAGCTATGTTAGTATTGGGAAATCTATAGATGGCTCCAATAGTCAAAGAAGATTTAAGGGATTTAATTGTAAACTGAGCAAAAGTATATTCACAGTAGTCATCTCTGTCACTAATAACACTGTTGCAGATAAATGTATCTCGGTAATATATAGCTGTGCCACCACCTTTTTTATTAGGCCTACAGTTATGAATGGCTTTATAACCAGCTAAGTTGTAGAGTTGGGTATAGTCTTTATTTAGCCAAGTTTCTGTTAAAATAATGAACGATAGGTTAGTACCTATTGCTGTGAGTAATGCATTTAAATCGTCAAAATGTTTACCAAGTGATCTAACATTTTGGTTATAAACTGATAGACAGGTGCTATTTTGGAGTTTGTTTTTAGCCTGGTGTGCTGTGAAATACTTGCAATAATGATGATCAATGTGCTGGTTGGTATAGATATGAGACAGAAGATTTTGATCAGGATCAATATCAGTGTGCATAGGATGCAGAGGGATCACGATACAAGATACACGATAAAGCAAAACACAAGAATAAGAGCAAATACAATAAAATAGTAACAATTTAGAAGTAAAATAAAGATCCAATAGATAGCCAGGGAGGACACAGAAGTTACATAAAATAAAAAAACAAAAAATCAGTAGAGACTGACAATATAAATGTAAAATAAAAATAATAAGAAAAATGATAATCATAAAAAAAAAAAAAATGATCTTGAAGATAATTAGCTTAGTAATGGTTAATTAACAGGGTAATAAAAAGCCCTAGGTTTAGTGACAAGGGGATTAACTAAGAACAAATAATTAAGAGTATAAAACAGGCAAAGATGACAAACAAAAAATAAAAAATAAAACAATAAAAATAAAAATAAACACCTTTGGAAAGGAAAGGCAGAGCTTCAGTACACTTTGGTTGTATGTGAGACTACAAATTATGTTCTGGTTATTCAGCTGATATCCCACAGTCATCCAGGAAAGAAGTGAGGTGTGCTTCAATGGTTATGACATGAGTTTTTCCAGAGTCAGTCTTCCTAGCTATTATTTTACCATCGCGCACAAAACAATGTTTAATAGCAGTGGATCTATTGCAAATTCCACGTAGTTTATATAAGAGATTTTGTCTGAATCTGGTAAGACATTCGTTCACATAAACCTTGGATTTCCTAGCGACTGCAGTAGTGATAAGGTCTGACTTGCGGGAGCAGCTATCTAACTTCACCCTAATCTTTCTGTTGTTTGTACCAGATGATTTGGCACCCACTCTATAAGCTGACTTAATGTCTCTTGCTTCGATTGAATAATTCAACTTAGTACGCAATTCCTGGATCACGATGGCAGTACAGTCTTCTCTGTCAGTTTCATGGGGAAAATCCTGTGATGAGATGATGACAGAATCAAGGAGCTTAAGCTGGTCTGATTCGTCTTGGGTTGCAGTGTGTTGCTGTTGTAGGGAGTTAAAATGGTTCTCTAACTTTTGTAGCATCTCTTCTTGCTTCTTAGAGGTTTCTGCTGGTTTAAAGTTAGTAACCGAGATCTGAAGAGAGCTTAATTCGTGTTCGAGGTGGCCGACTCTGGCAGACAGATCTTGGTTAATCTTGTGCATGGCCAAAGCATCACTCTGAAGCTTCATTATCAGGTCCGACTGCTCTCGGATTATAGACTTTTGGTCGTCATGTATTTGAGTCAATAATCTGAGCCATGGATTATCAGCGAGACGCTTTAGTGGCTTTAATAGTGGCTTTAGGCATTGTATGTACTAGCTCTACCTATAAGTCAACCAATCTTTGTAAAAATTTATTGTATGCATGTACCTTACCTAAATAAACATTTTATTTTATTTTTATTTGATTTACTTTACCTGAATAAACATTTGAATTTGAATTTCCCGGTATCGGGCAGCCGGGGCGCATCCGATCCCACAATCGTCGCCGCCCCTAAATCAACACAATAACAAACGACATATACGAATCGACCTACAGGGTAATAAACTCATGGAACCGCCTACCCGCTGTAGCCGTAAATAACAAGACATTACTGCAGTTTAAATTCCAGTTGGAAGATATGAGAAAGAGGAAGCATTGACAAGCATCGGCTTCCTGTCCTCATCCCAGAGAGACAGTCACTCTCAGGTTAATTCCCTTAAGGTTCCCTTAATTAAATTAATTAATTCCCTCAACTCCCGAAACGCTATGCGTGTTTGTGGCTTTACAAGAATGTAAAATCATCAAGGCTATGTACTCTCATAAACCCAATGTACCTTCTTGTATATATATAAATCAAAATCAAAAGGTAAATGAGGAAAGAGTGGGAGGTCACCCACGACCTTCCTGGGAACCCCATATGGTTCTCTCGTAACCCACAATACCACACATACACTGATTACAAACTCCCTGATATAAATTATCAATCGTACGTGAATAAAAATTAACAACAGATAGCTTTTAAACGTATTATCCAAGACGGAATTTAAATCGCGATTGTGAGGAAGGCGAAGGAGCGCCGCCCAGACCGTGACCGCCGCTTCGGGCTCTCAACACCTCCTTTGTTGGTCTCTTGTAGCTCCTGTGGTCACTGGTGGTCGGGGGAGTATAGTCACAAGCCCCATTACTAACTGGAGAAGGTTCATTATAAACCATTACCAAGAGAGGACTGTGTGTGGTGGCAGGTGTGTGTTGTACGTCTCTCATGTTATGCTGTCTGGAGGTGTTTCCTGTGTGTCTCAAGTCTTACTCTTACTCGTGTGTGTGTCTCAAGTCTTACTCTTACTCTTGTGTGTGTCTCAAGTCTTACTCTTACTCGTGTGTGTGTCTCAAGTCTTACTCTTACTCGTGTGTGTGTCTCAAGTCTTACTCTTACTCTTGTGTGTGTCTCAAGTCTTACTCTTACTCGTGTGTGTGTCTCAAGTCTTACTCTTACTCTTGTGTGTGTCTCAAGTCTTACTCTTACTCGTGTGTGTGTCTCAAGTCTTACTCTTACTCGTGTGTGTGTCTCAAGTCATACTCTTACTCGTGTGTGTGTCTCAAGTCTTACTCTTACTCGTGTGTGTGTCTCAAGTCTTACTCTTACTCTTGTGTGTGTCTCAAGTCTTACTCTTACTCGTGTGTGTGTCTCAAGTCTTACTCTTACTCGTGTGTGTGTCTCAAGTCTTACTCTTACTCGTGTGTGTGTCTCAAGTCTTACTCTTACTCTTGTGTGTGTCTCAAGTCTTACTCTTACTCGTGTGTGTGTCTCAAGTCTTACTCTTACTCGTGTGTGTGTCTCAAGTCTTACTCTTACTCGTGTGTGTGTGTGTCAAGTCATACTCTTACTCGTGTGTGTCTCAAGTCTTACTCTTACTCTTGTGTGTGTCTCAAGTCTTACTCTTACTCGTGTGTGTGTCTCAAGTCATACTCTTACTCGTGTGTGTGTCTCAAGTCTTACTCTTACTCGTGTGTGTGTCTCAAGTCTTACTCTTACTCGTGTGTGTGTCTCAAGTCATACTCTTAGTCGTGTGTGTGTCTCAAGTCATACTCTTAGTCGTGTGTGTGTCTCAAGTCTTACTCTTAGTCGTGTGTGTGTCTCAAGTCTTACTCTTAGTCGTGTGTGTAGGTCAGTCATACTCTTGCTCTTGTGTGTATGTCAGACATACTCTTACTCTTGTGTATATGTCAGTCATACTCTTACTCTTGTGTGTATGTCAGTCATACTCTTGCTCTTGTGTGTATGTCAGTCATACTCTTGCGTGTATGTCAGTCATACTCTTACTCTTGTGTGTATGTCAGTCATATTCTTACTCTTGTGTGTATGTCAGTCATACTCTTACTCTTGTGTGTATGTCAGTCATACTCTTGCGTGTATGTCAGTCATACTCTTACTCTTGTGTGTATGTCAGTCATACTCTTACTCTTGTGTGTATGTCAGTCATACTCTTACTCTTGTGTGTATGTCAGTCATACTCTTGCTCTTGTGTGTATGTCAGTCATACTCTTGCGTGTATGTCAGTCATACTCTTACTCTTGTGTGTATGTCAGTCATACTCTTACTCTTGTGTGTATGTCAGTTATACTCTTACTCTTGTGTGTATGTCAGTCATACTCTTGTGTGTATGTCAGTCATACTCTTGTGTGTATGTCAGTCATACTCTTGCTCTTGTGTGTATGTCAGTCATACTCTTACTCTTGTGTGTATGTCAGTTATACTCTTACTCTTGTGTGTATGTCAGTTATACTCTTACTCTTGTGTGTATGTCAGTCATACTCTTACTCTTGTGTGTATGTCAGTCATACTCTTACTCTTGTGTGTATGTCAGTCATACTCTTACTCTTGTGTGTATGTCAGTCATACTCTTACTCTTGTGTGTATGTCAGTCATACTCTTACTCTTGTGTATATGTCAGTCATACTCTTACTCTTGTGTGTATGTCAGTCATACTCTTACTCGTGTATATCATTGTATGGACAAAATACATAAGAGAGCCTCTTGCCTCTGTAGTGACCTTGCCTAACAAGAGCAGGAGTTGTATACAGCTTCCTTCTACAGGGAACAGCCACTGTCTATACTGGCCACTGGGTCAAGGCAGGGTTTTTAATCGGAATAAGTCTCCGTGGTGTAGTGGTAAGACACTCGCCTGGCGTTCCGCGAGCGCTTTGTCATGGGTTCGTATCCTGGCCGGGGAGGATTTACTGGGAGCAAATCCTTAACTGTAGCCTCTGTTTAACTCAACAGTAAAATGTGTACTTGGTTGTAACAACGATTCTTCGCGGCGGGGATCGTATTCCAGGGACTTGTCCGAAATGCTTCGCGTAATAGTGGCTGTACAAGAATGTAACAACTCTTGTATATATCTCAAAAAAAAAAAAAATAATTTTATATATTGTTAGGTTAGAGTTAGTTAGGGGGTTGGATATTAGAGTTGGGTTAGGGTAGGTGGATATTTTGTTTTATTTTTTATTTTATTTATATATACACGAGTTGTTACATTCTTGCACCTAATTACCACTTTGACTGGACGGTAGAGTGACCGTCTCGCTTCTTGTAGGTTGGCGTTCAATCTCTGACCATCCAAGTGGTTGGGTACCATTCCTTCCCACTGTCCCATCCCAGATCCTTATCCTGACCCCTTCCAAGTGCTATAAAGTCTATAGTTTGGCACTTTCCCCTGATAATTAAAAAAAATGACATTCCTGTACAGCCACTAGCATGCGTAGTGTTTCGGGCAAGTCCTTATTCCTAATTTTCCCTGGTATATGACTTGCCAAATCGTTTAACAACCAGGTACTCGTTCACCGCTGGGTGAACAGAGGCCAAAGTTAAGGAGTGGCGCCCAGTCAATCCTTCCCGGCCAGGATACGAACCCAGGCCGGCCCAGTATACGACATAGGTAACGTTGTACCTAAAACACTCCCCAATGGATTTAAAACCAACCCAAGTAAGCTTAAGCTAACGATACTGTATATGCAACTGTAAATGGGTAAGTTTTAACATTTGTTGGAACAGAAGTTATCTTGGGTGTGAAGTTATCTTATTCGTGTGAAGTTATCTTATTCGTGTGAACTATTGCTTTCATATGGGATACAGTCAAATGGTTTCATGCATCAAAGATGACTTCTTTTCTAGTTATTAAAACTGAATGTAATAGAGTATATTATTAGGTTGAATTAGGTTAAATAGTTTCTAAATTTTGTTTTAAGCTGTGTTATGTATGGCATTACCTGTATCCTTTCATGGACACGTCACGTCCTTGTTGCACAGTGGTAACACTCTTGGCCCTGCAAGTGATTTTTGCTATGTTCGAGCCCTGGGGCAGGCATGATCTCCTAGACATCCAGCACCTTATCTAATTGGAATGTGGTTGTAGACCAATTGGCACTACTTTACAGGTTTCTTTTGTCTAGGCTTCATTCTAGCAAATTGATCTATTACAGTACGTACTATATATGTAGAACGTTTCTAGGATATATTTGATTTTCAGAAACTTCAAAATTTTTCAAGTTATGTCAAATGAAGTGAAAACAAATAGTGGAAGCAGCAAGAGTCGTTTACCTGCTCCTAGTAGTCGAATACCAGCCCCTGGAAGCAGGTATAAACACCTTTTCAAATCGATCAAATTAAATTCATTCCCAAGTGATCAGGGTGAAGCAGATACACCAGATTTCAAAGGAATTTAATTTAATAAGCAAACAATACATAAAAGCATGAAGATATTTTATGATCTAAGCATGTTTATCATAGATAAGATTACTATTGCTGCTCCTTTTTCTCTCTATACACAATATATATCTCCATTGGTTTTATGCAGTAAAATGTGTCTTGTACTGAATCATTAACAAGGGCTACCTCATTTACAGGTATTTACTGTACAGTGGGTAATGAAAATGTAAATATGACTGGGATACAAAAATTGTAAAGTGAAAGTAAAAAGTAGAGGAAATACTGACTGGTTGTTACTTTTACTCAGTTATTGTATTCATCACCGGTCAGGGAGCCGGTCGGCCGAGCGGACAGCACGCTGGACTTGTGATCCTGTGGTCCTGGGTTCGATCCCAGGCGCCAGCGAGAAACAATGGGCAGAGTTTCTTTCGCCCTATGCCCCTGTTACCTAGCAGTAAAATAGGTACCTGGGTGTTAGTCAGCTGTCACGGGCTGCTTCCTGGGGGTGGAGGCCTGGTCGAGGACCGGGCCGCGGGGACACTAAAAAGCCCCGAAATCATCTCAAGATAACCTCAAGATAAGATCACTACAATTAATGACTCCACTTCCTACTTACTTAAACACTAAGAGGTACAGTGGGTTTGTGAGATTACATAAGATTGGTACAGTGGTACCTCCATTTACATATTTAATCCGTTCCCAGAGACGGGTCGTAACTTGAAATGAATTTTCCCATGAGAAATAATGCTAATTGAATTAATCCATTCTACATTTCCAAAAATTAACTTCAAAATACATTTCATACATAATACACACATATTTTGTATTATAGTATGCACAAGTTATAGCTTACCTTAATTGATTACGCTTGTTGGCACATGGAAGACAGTGAGAAGGGGGGAGGAGGAGGAAGAGTGTTACTGTTTGGAAGGGGAGTCCCCTTCCATTATAACATCAGGCAGTGAGGACTTTTCTGGGGTATTCTTTCTCCTACATTTTGCAGGCATACCACTAGGACCTGGTTGTGGCTCACTACTTGCTTGTCTTACTAAGACAGAATCTGCCTAAAGACACTTGTTTTTCCCTACATTTTAACACTTGCAAGTAGTGAGACATCACACTGTTATTTAAAAGGTAATTGCAACGGCCTGCACCAGCTTTATCTGGGTGAGTTTTTTCAACAAAACTGCAGTTCTTCCCATACTTCACACATTTTCTTAATGAGGAAGGGACATCCTCTACTGCCTCTACTCACAACTATTTTCTTAGGTTGAACCTTACCACTGACTTTCTTGGGACCCATGGAGTGATATGTAATAATTACTCTCATGTTCAAAAACCAAAAACAGAAAAACAATGAAATTCTTTATAAAGAATTTTAGTGCAGTCGTTACTTGGCGAGAGAGATTGGTAAACTGAAGCGCTCTGCACGCTTAGTCGACGCATATGTGAATCAACAAAGTCGCAAGTCGAGGCAAAGGTTGTAAGTCGAGCCGAATTTTCCAACAAAATTGGGGTCGTAACGCGAAAAATTCGTAAGTAGGGGCATTCGTAAGTCGAGGTTCCACTGTATTTTTACATTGATGCAAAGACACTAACATGCATAGTGTTTCGGGCAGGTCCTTACTCTAAGCTATCAGGTTAGATGAAAAGGTACATTGTAGCAAAATTTTGTATCAACATATAACTACAATATAAATTGACAGGTTATTACACTGGTGAAGATGTGTCTTAAATACAGTACTAATATTAGGGTAGTGGGTAGTACAAGGTAGTGTGATAGTGATTACTTAGTCACACAGTAATGATACTAAATGATACTTTGTGAGTCATACTTAGATTCAGCATGATACTTAGAAATTTGATGAACTGTGCAAATATTATTCTATACATATTTAGTTCACTACCATATTTTGCTAATACAGTGATATCTCGGCTTACGAATGCCCCGCTTTACAAACTTTACAGGTTACGAGCCCAATTTCTTTGTAAAATCCGAATTGGGTTATGAACTTTGTCTCGGGAAACGAAGTTTGTTGATACACGTATGGTCGACCTAGCGCGTGGTGGTACAGCGATCCCGCCTCAGTTTACCATTTACCAGTGCCTCCCGCCTAGTGACAATCGTGCGTGAATTATTTTTAAAGAATTTCAGTGTTTTCGGATTTGTGGGTATTTGAATATAAAAGTTATTATTACTGTATATATCTTGCCATGGGTCCCAAGAAAGCCAGTGGTAAGGTTCAAGCCAAGAAAACACATGTGAGAACGACCATAGAGGAAAAACAAAGATCATTCATAAACATGAAAATGGTACACCGGTTGTTGAATTAGCTCAACAAATCTATGTCAACAATTTGCACTGTAATTGCTAAGAAAAAGGACATTATGAGTGCTAAAGTGGCAAAAGGCATATCAACAATCACAAAACAAAGAACATAAACACTTGAGGATGTTGAAAAGTTATTAATTCACCCTGAGCAAGCTGTAGTAGGCCGTTGTGTTAACCTTTTTAATAACACTGTGATGTCTCACTTCAGACAAGTGTTACAAAGTAGGGAAAACAAGTGTCACTAGACAGGTTTTTAGTGAGAAACACAAGCAGTGAGCCATAAGCAGGTCCTAGTGGTATGCAGGCAAAATGTGCCAGAGAGAGTACCCCAGAGAAGTCGCATCACTGCCTGATATTATAATAGAAGGGGACTCCCTTTTCTAACACTAACACCTCTCCTCTTTTCCCCCTCCCTCCTCACCATCTTTCATACTTCGATACACCAACAAGAGTCATCAATAAAGTTAGCAATAACTTGTACATACTTTAGTACTAAAGAATTGGGTGAATTAGGTATAAAATTTACTTTAAAGTTAATTTTTGGGGGAGTGTGGAATGGATTAATTCAGTTTACATTATTTCTTATAGGAAAATTCGCTTCAGTTTACAAATTTTCGGCTTACGAACTGTCTCTGAGAACGGATTAAATTCGTAAGCTGAGGTGCCAATGTACAGTTCATTTTTTTTTTAAATTATCATCAGTAGGGATACCTTATTGTTTATACAGAATTTTTTGCTTGCATGTTTTCTTGGTGACTTTGTGATATGTGGAGAATGCCTGTGTACCAACTTGAAGCTTTGAATATGTCCTCCTGTAGCTTTTAAGTAACATTAGAAAAAATATAAAAAATGGTGTATAAGGTGACACGGATAAAAATTGGTGTGCCTTGCATATTTATTGGATTTCATTTACGTAGCGAATAAGAGTTTATTCGGTTGATTTTTGTGGTATGATGATCCTTTCATCATCTGATTCATAATGCTCGGTGTGCAAGTGTCACCTTCAATTTCCTTATGTCTGGAGCTTCTAGATAATAATTAATAATAATAATTCATTGTGTCAGGGGACAGGCAGCCAAGAGTGTATTCATACACGTTAGGCTTATATCGAGGTTTCCCCTCCCTTTAGGTCGAATTACTGACCCCACCCAGGATACAACTCCACATCAAGCTGGCTAATTCCTTAGTACTTACTTAAAGCTAGGTGAACAGATGCATTAGGTGATAGGAAATGCACCCACCTATTTCTGTCCCGCCCGGGATTCGAACCGTAAATTCTCGGTTGTGAGTCAAAAACGAACTCGACTGTATTACCGGGACCCTTAGATTTTTACCTGAATTTATTTACCTGAGGGCCACAAACACTAGTGGCCTTGACGAGAACAAGAAGCTGGCAGCTTATCGAAGGTCTCCCCATTTGCCTTGATGATCTTTTCCAGTTGAACTTTAAAATTTAAATATTTTAACATTTACAGCTTCGGTGGGTAGATGGTTCCATGGGTTTATAACCCTGTGGGTGAAGAAGCATCTCCTGTTCTCAGTCCTACATTGTGGCTTGTTGAGCCTGAAACTGTTGCTCTTTGTGTGTGTTACATCTGACCTTTTGAAGTAATTGTCCAGATCAACATCCTCCAAATTGTTCAGTATTTTAAAAGTTTCAATGAGATCTGCCCTGTCATGCCTGGTTTGCAGTGTTGTTAGGCCTATGGCCCTCAACTGTTCCTGATATGTGGATTGACTTAGTTCTGGAATTATTTTTTTTGTTGCTCATGATGTTCATTAATAAATCGGACAGGCAGTTCTCTTTCTGTCTGGGTGATATGTTTTGCCTTTTTAATTTATTAGTTGACTCGTAATGGTTTCCTTTAACACTCATGACTCAATTACATACTACATGAAGTTTTAGGAGATGTGAATGTGTTTTTGGACTCTGACAAACATTCTTATTGTCTCACTCGCTCTTCCTACTGTGTTTAGGGTCATTTTCATCCATAGGTGTGTAATATTTTGTTGTTGCTGAACATTGGTGTTAGCCGGTCCCTTCGCCCTCCCCCAAAACAATGACTTAGCAGGCTGCTTCTACCTTCCAAACATGAAAGCCGATAATTCTTTGGAAGAGGCGAGTACACCAGTGAAGGAGCTGAAAGGTGGCAATGCTACAGGCATTCATGAAGTATATTATATGCAGAAATGATTAAATGTTGTGGAGAAAAGGAACTGAAAATGGTGTGGAGAATTTACCAGAAGACATGTAATTACCTAAATGTAGTTACAGGATGAGAGCTACGCTTGTTGTGTTCCGTCTTCCCAGCACTCTTTGTCATATAACACTTTGAAATTACTGACTGTTTTGGCCTCCACCACCTTCTCACCTAACTTGTTCCAACGGTCTACCACACTGTTTGCGAAAGTGAGTTTTCTTATATTTATTCGGCTGCTTTGTTTAGTTAGTTTAAATCTATGATCTCTTGTTCTTGAAGTTCCGGGTCTCAGGAATTCTTCCCTATCAATTTTATCAGTTCCTGTTACTATTTTGAACGTAGTGATCATATCACCTCTTTTTCTTCTATCTTCTAGTTTTGGCATATTTATTGCCT